AAAAAAAAAATTCGGTTCTTATTCGGTTTTTGGTCGAGAACCGAGAACCGAACCAAACCATTCGGTCCTCGATTCTAATACCCGTTCGGGTATTTCATTTTAAAAAACCCGCTCGATTCGGTTCGGTTCCGATTCGGTTCGGACATTTTGCCCAACCCTACTTCAAACACCAGGAACTATGTAATTTCCTCTTTTCCCTTTGCACATTGGTAAATAGCTTCTATCGGCCCGGGTGGTCCAGCATTACCGGCCCATACACCAACCTAAAAGGCTCGATTTCATAAACAAGTCCATTGCCCAAAATATAAATCCTTACCACTTCATTATAATTTATAAGATTGTCTCCTCTGCACAACTAAAACAAAGCCCTAGGTGCGTCCGCTCGTATCAAAATCAACCTCCACATCCGACTCCGATTACGTTACTCTCGGCGGCCGCCGCCGACGGTCGGCTGTCATTACACGAAGCTAAGGTAAGTCATTCGTATCTTTTTCATGCTTATATGAATTTCTGATAATAATATTTTTTGTATCTATGTAATTGTTTCCTTATTTATTTTAATCCATTTGGATTATCTTGTTTACAAAACTTATTTATTGAATTATCTGACGAAATCTAAAAAAATTTGAGTTAATTATTTGGAGTTCAAGAAATTTTTATATTTTGGCAAAAGATTCTTCTTGGTACTATTTGCTTCTCTTAGATTTTTGTATTTGGAAATTAGTTGGTGTTTGTTCTCGAACTGCAGGTGCCACTCATTCGAAGTTTTGACGTAATTGTGTTAATCTGTAGATTTCCCGATACCGCTAGTAATAAACATGGTTACCAGGAAAAGTATGCAGCTTATTACATTCTCTCAGGAAATCGCAGATGGAGAACCTATCTATGTTTCGTCTAACATCACTTTTTCTTTTGTATTGACTGTGCCTCTTCACTTGCAGGAGTTTTCTTCTTGTGAGAATTTTGTTAAGCAGTTGAGAATTCCAACAAATGGCTGCGTCTAATTCTTCAAAATTGTTTCGGCGTAAGTGTTTCCATCATTCTCAATTTCAAATCTTTTTCACTGTAAATTCGTAAACGAGCAGACTGTGTGTACCTTTTAGTTAATTGGGGAAAGTTACTAGTTTCCTGACTACGCCCAGCATTGGTTTAGTCAATTTGAAGTGAAAAAATTTCAGCATGTGCATTTACAATGAATGTAAATATATATAATTTTAATGCTGATTACTATTTATGTAATGAGTGAAGTTCAACCTGGGAATGAATTCACTCAAAATCAGTACCAATATAATAATCACAGCTTAATGAGTTAAGATCTCAGCCCAATTGCTGAATTAACCACTAAATTGAGAATGAGTGATGATAGAATTAGAGAAAGAAAAAGAAGATATAAGGAGTAGAAGAAATAAGAGAGAGAATTGATTAATAGAACTGATTTTACATCAACCACACGTTCCTTTTCTCCTCTGTCCTGTACATATATGCTGAAAACAAAATGGATGGAAATCGTATTCCCATTTACAAAAACGCAATAAGCAAAATGACGCTTAAATGCTAGTTGTGGACCCCACTTCTGAAAGCTATTTACGGTCTGTTCCTTTCCTTCTTTCTCCCCATTTTTTCCATTCAGTTGATGCTGCCTCATCATGACAATTTACTTCAATTTCTTGAGAACTCTTATTGTTTGATTGATATGCTTGGCAATGGTAGCTGTTTTGAGTTCAGTTTATTTCACCCCTTTTGATTGCTAATAATGGACATGTTCTTTTACCAATGCACAAAGAACCTGTTTTTTTTTTTTTATTGAGAATTTTGAAATACAATAAAAGCAAAAGTGATATGGGTTTTTGAATCATTGAAATCCATTTGCTTTATAAAAAGAAGATATCATTGAATTTTTATGAAATAATTTATTAGTTTCAACAAATTATCGTCACAGTGGATATTATTTTAGGTATTAGTTGTTCATTTATTCTATTATGTGATTGAATAAAATGACATTGGGGATGATTAGTCAGATTAGTCCGTATGGAAAGCAAATTAATGATTTTGGAACAAAAAGTACTAGTGCTGAAACCACCATAACATAAGACCAAAGCCTCAATAGCTGACTTCTAAGAAGATTTTATGCATGTTTGGATGGATATCAGAGGTGGATTTCATTGTATTTTGTTAAATATTACTTTAATTCTATTCATATCCATGATTTGTCTTGTAGGTTTTTATTAAACAAGGTATTAATTAATATTTTATTGAATTGATTTAATTTCATAGAAAAAACTTATAGGTTGTCAAACATAAAGTTGCATATGCTAATGGCAAAACCACCCTAACAACATACTTCTTTAGCTGTAAGTTCATCTACTCATATGTTGTGAGCTAACAACACAATTAACTATTTTCTTATAAATTTTGAGTTTAACATGTGCATTTGTGCTTTTATTTTTCTTCTTACTGTGATGAACTGAGATTTCTTAGAGGTTGTTTTCTTCGTGTTTCAGTTTTCAGATTTGAATTCATTTTGGATTTTGTGTTTTGAGTGTCTATTTTGAGATTGTTAAAAACATGTTTTTTTTGTCATTTTAAATTTTTTTTTTCAAAAATTTAAAAAAATGAAGTTTTAGCTTGGTTTTTTAACTGAAAATAACCAAAACGACTTTTTTTGGCCTTTTTTGTTTTCTTTGAAAATTTTAAACTCGTTTTTGGAAATTTATTTCTGAAAATAGTTAAGTAAATGTGTTTTCAGTGTTTTCGAAAATCGAAAACTGAAAATGGTCTGAAAAGAGCAAAGAGCCTTTAGTTTTTTGTTTGGTATCGACAATCTTCAGTAACATTCTAAACAAACAACTATTGCCTAAGTTATGCATTTGAATGAAACAACTACGACCAAAAACTAAGCCTTGTTTCATCCTACCCCATGTCCAACACCTCTGACAGATTTTCTCATGTCTCGTGCGAGGAAACACCAGTTGGTCGTTCATTGGTAGGTGGTCTCAGCAACAATTGTCTTGGGACAATCAGGTCATCATGTGAGATGATGTGCAATGATTTCTTATCTCAGGTTTGTATTGTTTCTTTTAGTCTTTTTATGAGTGTCCATTATTTAGTTTTAGTGCTTTCAGTTTATTTTTCTTATGACTGATTTTATGCAAACTGTTAATGGTCTTTTTAATTGTCTGATTTTACTCCCAACTATGTGGGCATGAGCGATGCACGTGTTATGGTCATAGTTGGGTACGTAATAGTAAATTTTACACCACCTAATAATTCAACCAAATTCTTTAAAAGAGTTCATCAATCAGAAAATGTGCCTGCAAAGTAAACCATACCATAGTATCATATTTCTGTTTGAAGTTATTGTAAGAATTTACGAAAAATGCACAAATTTAAAGGTTTTCAGCAGAAATTTGAGGGATAAAAAGTGTACAAACTGACAAATTTCAGGAAGTGGTTCTTGTGGATTAGTTCTGAAAGGGGCAGAGGTTTTTTCAGATAACGAAATATATATCATCAGAATTATTGAAACGTTAGAAGATTTAATTTCTGTATTGCTTTATTTATTTTCTAGTTGCCAACTCAACATTGAATTAGGCTGAGTTGATGATTGAAGTTTGACTTATTTTTTTATTAATCTTATCATCAAAATCTTTGTTCCTTCAGCAACAAAGGACATTCATACAGATGAGGACCAATCTCAAAGTGGTGGATAATTCAGGTGCAAAAAGAGTAATGTGCATACAGGCATTGAAGGGAAAGAAAGGGGCGAGATTGGGGGACACAATAGTTGCATCAGTAAAGGAAGCACAGCTAGGTGGGAAAGTGAAAAAAGGGGAGGTTCATTATGCTGTTGTGGTTCGTGCAGCAATGCAGCGGGGTCGATGCGATGGGAGTGAAGTGAAGTTCGATGACAATGCCGTAGTACTTATCAACAAGCAAGGCGAACCAATAGGAACGAGAGTGTTTGGCCCTGTTCCACACGAGTTGAGAAAAAAGAAGCATGTCAAGATTCTTAGTCTAGCTGAGCATATTGCCTGAGTATTTTCCTTTTAGGTTGAATAAGGTTTTTTATCTATGGCTTGGGGTTTGGAACGAACTGCTCCAGTAATGGCTGGGTAGTTTATGTCGTTTCTCGTCTTTAATGTTGTCTGTTTCAACGAAAGTAGATGTTATAATGTATTGCTTTGTGGTTATCAAATCATTCTAGTGTTACATTGTTGTAAGCCTTGAAGCCTACTTCTTGTCCAAGTTGCAGATGGTGCCTTTTATTATGTTCTAATGTGCTGATGAAAATTTCATGCTAAATAGAGGAAAAAAAATGCATACTGAGCTCCTATGAAATGCGTTGCCTAGCTTCTAGTCCACAACTTCTCTACCCCTAATGTTCGTCTTTATGAGTGTATTGGCGAGATATTTTGTGTCTGAGTGGGTTATCTTGCAAATTGGTAGTGACTACACTTTTATGCTTCAAAACTACATCTCTTGTTTTTGCCTTGTTACGATACTTGGAAAGGCGTTGGGCAGTGGATTGTTGCCTGTTAAGTCCAGTTCTTGCAGACAAAGATGTTATACTCTGCATTCGGCCTGGAGGTTAGGGATTTTTATGCTTTTCTTGTAAAATTATTTCTTCATTACCAAAAGAAAATGCAAAATCTAGTGAAAGAAAGTAAGAACTTTTGGTTTTGTTTATGTGAAATCTAATTAGTTTTATAGATCTCTTCTTGAATGTCTAACTGGTGCATTCCATTTCTTATAGTCGAGGTCATTGTATAAATATCCAGTAAGTGAACTCCCATTGTATATCTTACAGTGCCCTTGCATCACTAGATGTGATAAGAGAGGAGTGACTCATTAAGAAGTATCGAAACTTTTTAACAGTGTTGCATAAAAGTCGTCACTGAGGAAAGATTTTGAGCAGATATTTAGTCATTTGGCATAAATGCTTCACAAACCAGCAACTAATGTCCTTTAGATTCAAATAACATGCAAAAGTTTGTTAAACAACTAAAGTTGTTTAACAATGTCTCTCGTGCCTGTGATAAATCGTAAGTGCATTATTGATGAGAAAAAACATATCGGTTGATCACTTCACACATTTTGGTATTTCTTAGGTTCATCAGGCTTCTTCCAGAACTCCAACTGCAAAGCCCTTCTCTTAACATTTTCTCGATTTCTTCGATTGGAAGACCCTTGGTTTCAGGCACACGTACGAGGACAAACAATAACGCTACAACAGAGATTACTCCGAATATAAGGAACGTCCATGATGTCCCAATTGCTTGTGTTAAGGACAGGAAAGATTGCGCCACAATAAGGTTTGATATCCAGTTGGTTGTGGCTGCTATGCCTCCACATACGCCTCGATACCTCGGAGGGTATATTTCAGAATTGACAATCCATGGAACTGTACCCATTCGCAGAGAAAAGAATATGATATATAGCCCCAGGCCGGTTAGTGCTAGCCATCCATAGCTGCTCGGGCATCCGCTCGTGTACCATAATCGGTCTTCTCCATGACAAATATCCTTAACTGTGTTGTTTGAAATCAGACAGGCCCCTGGAAACAGCTGTAGAAAAGAAAACGCAGTGATCAATTATAAAAATAACGACGATTACAATTTTATTCAAGTTTTTAGGTTTGTCCTTCTTATTCATGTCTCATAGAAATACTAGAGATTTTTACAGATGATCATATGGGGAATTTGGAAGAACCTGAATTTTGTGCCTTATTTTCAGAAGATGAGCAAAATCCACAACTTGGAGAAGAAGCTTTTAAACACTTCATGCAGTTCCAAGTAGTCGAGGATCCGGATGAACGATAGTCGGGGCACGTGTATGGAGTGAAGTGGGATGTCTCTGCCGCACTAGTTTAAATTGGAGCTACTCAGGGATAAATTTGCAGCACAACTTCTTCGGCATTTTATTGAAATTATATAGAGCTAAAACCTATACAAACAGAATACATACACGGGAATATTGTGGTGAATAAAAATCTTAATGCCAGGTGGTATAACTGCCTATATTCCTTTTGTACTGGAAGAGCATGTGCACAGGTAATTCA